CATGTGCCTGTTTTAACAGACTAAAAACAAGAACTACAGCAAAATGAAATATATATTTAAGTGCATTACCGAACAGCTACACAGACTCTCTGATAATCCTTCATTATAGCAGTTTTCCCACTTAGCATAGGACGAGGTGAAGGAGGAGAGACTGTATCCCCTATCAACACTCCCAGCTCTCCCATCACTCCAAAGACCAAGGGACAAAAGCACAAGGACAACAAAGGATCTCACCACTTGTCCTTCGGCTCTGCTTGCCTCTTTCAATTTCTTGACTCCTCTAGGAAAACCCTGACAGCTATGATCTAAGTATATTTTAAATAACAGCCTATCCGTCACAGCATGGTATACAGACACATTACATGAAGTCTGCTAGCAGGGCCACAACCAAACCATGGGATTCATTTACTTACTCATTTTAATGTAGGGCCACTCTACATAGTCCTGGATATCCCTGGAACTCAATATGCAGAGCAGGCTGGCTGAGAATTCAGAGATCCACCTTACTCTGCCTCCAGAGTGCTAGGATTAAAAGTGTGAGCCACCACAAATATGGCAAGGAAAAGATATCAGAAAACGAAAGGATCATCCCATGATTTAGTGTCTTCTCTCACGTATGCCCCTTTAACAGCTCACTTATACGAATGATAACAGAACTGTATGGACAACTCATTCTTAGGCTACATGCATTTGCTACTAGTATGTTTTAATATACATGTTAACACAACTATCAAAATTAAGACCGATGTTTACTGAAACGGTTAATACACTATTTTAGAAATTACACTAATTACTATAAAAGGTAAAAGGCAAGCAGTTTATGCTCTGCCTCCAAGGAAAAAACAAAATATTTACAAAACTGTGCTAGACATGAGCCTAGAACAGACTATAGCAAGGTCAAGAATACAAAATGGCCCCAGTTCAGCCCTACACACTCTCCATTATTCTTCACCAATGCTGTTCAAAAGTGAAATTCCAGCAGTTGGAGAGATGGCCCAGTAGTTAAGAATATGTCTGCTCTTGCATGAACTCAAGTTCCGTTCTGAGCACCCATGTTGGACAAATTGCTGTAACTTTAGCTTCAGGGGAATCTGATGCCATCTTCTGGCGCCATGGGTACCTGCATTCACATGCACATACAACTCCACCACACACACATACTTTGAAATAAAGCTAAGATAAACAAGTAGAACTCCCTCTTTCTCAAATAAAAAAATATTCAAACAGGCCAAGTCAGGTTATAAAAGATACTCTAAGAAAAATAAAAAATAAAAAAACCTTAAAAGTGATGGAATATAAAATATGAATGAGAAAAGAAAATGTTTTTATATTCTAGCATATGTACTATAGTAGAGATATACAGCTAAGAAGAGCTTAAAAATGAAAAGATTTTTAAAACAAGAGAAAGGCTGGAAAAATGGCTCAGCAGTTAATGAGCACGTTTTGTTCTTGCAGAGGACCTGGATCTGTTTCCCAGCATCCACATGGTGGCATACAGCCATCTGCAACTCATTCCATGCGGTCTGATGCTTTCTCCTGGCCTCAGCAGGCACCAGACACCCACACATACAGTATAGCCAAAGCACTCAAGCATATAGAAGAAAATAAAATCAAAGAGATGGCAGAAGAGGATCTGAAAGAAATCTCAGGGGAAGAGGAAGGGTAGTAACTCTGCTACGGAAATAAAAGCCACAACAGACTCAAACTAGATAGCTGTGCAAATGTGAAATGTTCCCCACAGACTCATCATTTAAAGAGAAGGTCCCCAGCTGGTGACAATGCTTGGGAAGGCTTTGAAACTTCTAGGAGGTGGAGCGTCGCTGAAAGTGGGTACTAGGGAACAGAGATAGGGTTTTATAACTTGGCCCTGTGCTTCTAGCCTCATGGATTTTACCCTAAATCATGAGCCCAAATACTCCCTTAAGTTGCTTAGTAGGTTCATCATAGAAACAATACTAATACATTAGTAACACACAAGAACAGAGCATCTGAGAGGTAGTCCAGCAAACAACGGACTCCATCTACCATTTGTCACAAAAATATAAGCCACAAAAATCATGTTCATGTACTAGTAACTCAAAAAATATTTTGTGATATTCTGAAAGGAAAAGGAACAAAAAAGGACTCAAGGTAAAAGAAAAAAAGAAAAAGACCAAGAGGGGTCTAATCATGAGAAGCCAATCCATTGAAAGAATAACCAAGAGCTGGATATGGTGAAAGAGACTGTGATTACACCACTGCGAAGGCTGAGACAGGAGGGTCATGAGTTTGAGCCATCCTCAGTTACACAGCAAGTTTTAAACCAACAACTGTAAACTAATTTTGTGAATATCATCTTAAATAAAATAAGAGCAAGAAGAATGTAGCACACTAGAGATTATTCGAGGTGCACTATCAGACTAGCCTGATACTAGAAAGTCTCCTAGAACACTAATCACGTAATACTTAATACTATCTGAAGCCCTCTGTATCCATGGAGAAGTGTCTTCTTGTTTCCAAGGATATTTTATAATCATTAAGCATCCTTTCTCTAAAACCTAAATTGGAAGGAAGCTATTTGAAAATAACCCAGAGCTTTAATCAGGAGGCAGAGGCAGGCAGATCTCTGGGAGTTTGAGGCCAGCCTGGTCTACAGAGTGAGCTCCAGGACAGGCTCCAAAGCTACACAGAAAAACCCTGTCTCAAAAAACAAAGAAAGTAACTCAGAAAAACAAAACAGTCTACAAAAATATTAAAACCTAACAGAAATTCAATCCTTAAAATGTATTAGTACAGTCCCAAGGTAGAGAAAAATTTAATATATGTCACAACAGGTCTAATAATAAACCTACCTCTCTGTAACGTGCAACGATCTTGGTAGGAAACCAAAATTATTATGTTAGCCCTCAATGTCACTGAATCAAAGATACGAAAGTTAAAAATAAAAAAAAAACTGTCAAAGGTATTAGACCAAGGAATTATTTCATATTAATTAACATAATAAATCAGAGCTTTCAAACAAAATGTCTTAAGAAAAAGGCAAAGTTGATTTAAAAATTGGGAAAAAATTAGAGCTGAGAGTAGTGGTACATACCTTGTCATCCCAGCACCTAGGAGGCTGAGGCAGGAATGTTATGAGCTACAGCTAGTATGGGCAACACAGTGAATTCTAAGCCAACATGGACAAAAGAATAAAAACTGTCTAAACTTAAGACATAGCAAAATGGAAATCAGAAGTGACAATTATTATAAGGACTAATTTATGTAGCATATAAATATATAATTATGTTTATAGATACATACACACACACACACACACACACACACACACACACACACACATCCCAAAAACTTACTGAAGTTAAAACAGAAAAAAGACAAAAACTAACAGTTTAAAAAAAAATACATATGGAAAGGCAACAGAAAAAGTCTATGTCTCCAGGCGTGATAATACTTTCCTATGGGTGGGAATAAAAGAATACAGTGAAATGCAGATGCATGCAAAGACATTAGGACCCAGGGTATTACAAAATTCTATCTGAATTCCAATCTGAAGAGAACGTGGCCAGGTCCAAGAGGAGAGGGAAGTGAGAAGAGGAAGCACCAGGACGTGTGTCCATGAGACCACACACGCGCAGACTAAATATATCAGTTACTAGAGGGCTTAAGAAAGAAAAGCAGAAAAATTAGGCAGAAAAAAAGAAAAATACATGAGTATTTCAGAAGATGTACTCTGGGTCTAGTATATGAAATATTTTAAGAGGAAATGTTCTGAATGAAGAAGCTACTTAGATGTCTCTGTAGTTCTTCCAAAAGCTAGAAGTCTTTTAAAAGCACTAAAGTGGGGGACTGGTGACTGAGAGGACGCAGTCAGATCCCCTGGATTCATGGATCCCAAATTTGGGTATTCAAATGTTCGCTACCGTATGTTTATAGCCCCCAAATCACTACTCAGGGCACTGCAGACATCGCTTTCAGACCTGCATGGTGCACTGAACAATTTGAGTCATCAACAGATAAGTTCCCAAGTGAGGGCAAACCAGCAACACTGTTTTCTTGTTTCAGCTCTCGTATTGTCAACATGTGCTTTTCACAGTTGATCTGGTGTCATGGTTTTCTATTATTGCCTTCTTGGAAGTAGAATACTAACATGCCTAAAATCCCTGAGCATCAGAAAATTATGAGCTGCTTCATGAAGACAGAGTGCACATCATTGAGGTAGTATGTTATGAACTATTTCACCTGTGAGCTCAATGTCAATATATGAATGAGATGCAATAATATATATTAAATAATGTATCTTTAATAGAGGCACGTGTAAAACAGTTTTATGCTGAGTAGTTGATGGGTCTGCAACCAGTGCCTTATCAGTGATAGGACACAGTAATCATACATTTCCTATAGAAAGAATGTCTCAGTATATCCTAATTCACTATTTATTTGCAGCCACTTAGTGAAACATGATTGTCCCAAACAAGAACTGACACTATCTGCATGAATATATGTACACATAAATGCTTACTCATATGGTAGACGGAAGCATGACAATTAATTAGAGGTAGCAGTCAGGGAGAGAGAAATCAAAGATGATGCTAGGTTTCCGATCTGAGCACCTAAGTACAGTACTGATAATGATAAGAAAAAAGCAAGGAAGCAGATAAGGAAAAGACAGATACCAGTTTCACAGTTATATATGGTATAACTTGCTAAATACATGTCTACATCTACCCTTTTGAAGTAAGAATCCTCAGACTGTTCACCTTGGCATGTCACCTGCATCTAAAATGCTCTGCTTTAATAGCACAACACAAGTCAAGCATGACAACACAGGAAATATATGCACTTAAGTCTTTCTCCTTCCACCATGATCTCAGAAATCAATATTCACCCTAGCCCCCTAACCTGCATGGCTAGTTATGTTTCTACATGAGTCACAAAATATCAAACACACACATACATACCATGGAAAATCAGAACTATAAATGATGAATATATTAGAAGAAATTATTCACACCAAGATGGGCTGTTTTGAATTCATTTATAGAGACATGAAGCAGTAGTATTCTCTGCATTAATTACAAAATACCATTCTGCAGTATCAAATTTCTATAGAAACTTCCAAGGTAAATAATGTTTTCATACTTGATTTAAGAAAACCTAAGAATTGTCTCCTCTTTCAATGAAGCTTTATAAAAATGTATATATACATTCAAAATGTGACAAGTTTCCACAGCTTGAAAATTACTTACATAATTACAATGTTTTATATAATTACAGGTACAAACATAAAAACTATCATAGAAATTCCTATTAATTCTTCCCTTTCTAGCCAAAATTGTATTTGTTTATACACATTACTAAAATAACAAAACAATTTCTAAGCTACTATAGAACTCATTTCATAAGCATATATATAAGTACATATTATAAACAAATATATATCATGTGTATATATATATTTGTGAACATGTGTTGACAATACATAATTCTTTTTCAATGTTATGATCCAAATATAACTTCAAGGCCAATCTAAAAGACAACAGCCATTTACAAACTTCTTTTTCTCTGCACTGTATTACTTTTCCTGCTTCCTTTTACATTCAAAGCACCTTCCTGACATTATCACTGGGGTGACAACTAGAAGCAAGATAACTCAGATACCAAAGTTAAATATAATAGTTACTACTATTTCTTTGAGAAAGAAAGGGTAAAGTATAAGGAAGAAAGGCTGAAAGCAGAGGGGGTAAGTAGGTGAAAAATAAGTGGGAAAGAAGGAAAAGTTAGAACACAAAGGTAAGTGTTCTGTACAGAACGAATTCCTGGTTCTGGGCAATCCATTTTAAGAACTTTGTCTTGTACAATGAAAATGACAAAACACCCTGGACACAATAGATCCTTTAAAGCACAAAGACATCAAAAAGCAAACCTTATCATTTTGAACATCTTTTCTATCGTTTTGAACTAATTTTATTGTATTCCCATGTAAATTGAGGCATTTGATCATAACACAAACAGAAATGGCTTTGCATGTCAACATGGATGTTTGAAATAGAGAATAAAGTAACCCTAACACACAACATCCCTGAGCTACCAAGACAGCAATTGGTCAGTGAGCAGCAGCTGGTGAACATGTAGTGTAAACATCCTCACAATGGCCTCCCTACCAATGAGCACACACCTCTCTTTGCAAAGGACCACAGCCCCTGGTGAAGACAACAAAGAGGCTTCTCAGTTACACCCTCTGAGTCGCAGAAACTATGACATTCCCACAGTCACAAGGGCAAGGCCTTGCCATGCACATGTCCAACAGGCCAGAAGCAAAGACAAGGAAAAAAAGGCTAGGAAGTCGTCTTAAAAAAAGAAGTAATGTATACATAATATGTAATAAACTTTCTACACCAAGAAAAATCTCGTAAGTGGTAGTTTCAATCTTAATCAGCCAAAAATGGGGGGGGCACAGTTCACTTAAAGTATAGCTAGCTCACAAAGCATTGTTTTTCTTCTTAAAATTACTGTCATAAAAACTAAAATAATACTATCACACTCTTCGTTGTGGATTAAGTAAGAATTTGTGGCTTTATATATAAAAAGAACCACTTGCATAGGGCTTAATCTATCAGAAGTTATAATGAGTTACAAACTCTCAGAATACAATTCAACTCTAAACTGGACATGGCCTATACATAACTCTAGTTGGTAAGTCGTGTACATTAGGTCAGCTACTAAACTGATGGAGGCAAAAGACTAGACAACCAAAGAGAAGCTGGTGGGAACCCAAATTTTAATGCTATTCCTAAAATACGTGTTCTAGTTTTTATAATCTCCTAGACATTACAAACAATGAAATACTCAGTTACAAATACAATGTGGGACTTGTGCTGTGGCTCAGTAAAATACTGGAAATGGCAGTATCATGTACAGTTAACACTACTGGAAAAACCTGAATACACTCACAACACACATTCTCTCTCTCTCTCTCTCTCTCTCTCTCTCTCTCTCTCTCTCTCTCTCTCTCTCTCTCTCTCACACACACACACACACACACACACGCACAAAATCAAGAAATAGTGAAACAGCTGCCAAAAAAAATAATTCCTACTGAGAGGGCAGTTATTCAATTTTCACTAAGAAATAACATTATGCCAGAAATATTAACACTAAGTTTTATCACTCTAGGAAAAAAAATCCCTGATAAGTAATTTTTTTTTACTCCAAAATCCTCCAGTGATGCAGGAATGTAAGTATCACCTGGAGACCATCCAGAAACACATTCCCAAGGGCTTCCCTCAGAAACCGACTCAGCCATCTGGAAGTAGCGACAGTGGCTATGTTTAGAAAATTTCATCCAGGTGATTCCAATCCTAGCTGAGGAACAGCACTGCAGAAGACTTACCCTTACTCTACTGACTATAAGCACTCTCATGGGATCACACAGTCATCGGTCGCAAACAGGAAGGGTTCATATCTCACCATTTAACGTATATCATAAATTGACAAAGAGATCTGGAAAATGACTTAAATAACATGCAAACATACTTCCAAACACTTTCTATATGTTTATTTTAAAGAGGATGCCTTAAAAGTCTATAAAAAATATAACGTATAAAAATAAATTATTTATTAATCCAGCTCCATGGTCCCTTAAAAGATTTTCATTTTATCATCAAAAATGCACCTCAACTGTATCTCATAGTACTTTCTAAAATCAGGAATTTCAAAAGTTTCTAATAGGAAAGTTTTAGTAGTCACCTAAACAAGATAATAAAACTAGGAATGATGTCAATAATACTTGAAAATATAAGCATATCTCAGCTACATTATATATTCTAAGAACAATTTTCATACTATGATAATCGCAAGAAGTTGCACATTCATTTAAGGAAAAAAAAGCACAAAAAATATTTCATAGAAGGAAATATCTCCTCATAAAACTTAAGAAAGTTGGTTTTCAAATGAAATATCAGATTCACTTCACAATATCATGTTTCCTTATGCACACTGTAAACATACACTCTAATGAGCTAGCAACTCCAATGAAACCAGTCATTACTCCAAGAAGACACCATAAAAAATTATTTTTCAGTGCAAAAACCCTTACTAATTTAGGTGGTTATAATGGACTTAAGACAATTTTAATAAAAATCACAATTTGAATCCCATAATATAAAATGAACCTACAAAGACATAACATTAAAATAAAAAGCCTGCAAGAGTAACGGAGTTTTCCTCTCATTACTATTCTCTAGTAAAAGCTTTCTTCTGATTAGCTTTTACAATGTCATCCGGGGATGCTGATTTGAAGTCAAATGGTGTTATTGCTACAAGAGGACTCATTTCTTTGTCCGACACATCTTGAACTTGTCTGCTATAGAGGAAAGTCTTGTAGAGGTCAAGATTGCGCCTCTTGCAGCTTTTCAGCGGGTAACGAAGACACAGCGTTGAAGCAAAAGCTGAAGGCCTAGCAGCAAGAGCCTTGGTCCATGCCAGAGACAAAGGTGCTTTCCTAGAGAGGGAGCCCTTTTTGTTTTTCTTACTATCCTTAGTAGAGTTGGAATTTTTCCCTAACTTTGAGGTTAGAACTTTAGTGTCTGATGCTGAAGCAACTGATGGGTCAACTACAGGCTTTGGAACAAACTCTGGAGTTTTTATCAGGACACTGAGATCAATATTTGAATCAATTCCAGGATTCCTCAACTCAGATAAACTGAGCTCAAAGGAATCGCTCTTAATCTGAGAGTTGTCTAGTTCAATTGTTTTTGCAATCAAATCAGAAAGGGACAAATTCTCCAGGTCTCTCGTGGGAGAAGCTTCAGAAAATGCCAAAGAGGACAGAGATCCTGTTAACTCCGATATCGCGTGAGAAGAGTAAGAGCGATTTGCCAGTTCTGACAGGGAAAGGGAACCCAGGCTAACAGCTGACTGGTTACACAGATCGGACAAAGTAAAGCACTGGCTCTGACTGTTTTCTCTGTGCTCCTCACACAGCTCAGCTAGGGATGGACTTTCACACTGGGAAAATGGTAAACTCTTATTCTTTACAATGTTATTCTTGGCACTTTTTCCGTCACTGTTTATACTGGGATTACAATTATTTTCCAATGAGCTAGGTAAGTGCAATGGGTTATTTAAAATTCCCAAGATGTTCTTCTGTACTGGAACCCCCAAAGAACCACTGGCTGCTATGCTCTCTCTCATTAAGGACTTTAAGTCTGGTATTCCTTTGAAAGCAAAATCCTCTTCCGGCGCGCACTCAGATGCTGGAGTCTGAGAAAGCCGACTCCGCAGACTGCCTGTGGGGGACAGTGCGGCTGAGGGCTGGCGTGCACAAGGATCTCTTGGCACATCATCAGTCAGGTGAGCTAGGGACAGCTCCTTTGTTAACTTACATGATTCTAGTTCCTTTTCACTTTGGGATCTGTCAAGTTTCTGTTTCCTATGAAGTAAATGGGGACTTGGCACCAGTGAAGGATTATATGATCCACATTTTGCTACTGAGCTAGAATAATCAGCAGATTTGCTACTGCTATCCAAATGATTTTCTGATTGAGGATAAAAATTTTGAACATTTTCGGCTGAAATTTCAGAAGAAGAAAATAAGACTCCTTACCTTACAAGAGCCATTAATGTTCAGATGGGCGAGTTGACATTTGCAGAAGACAGTCACAGCAGCCAAAAGGAGACATGAAATGAGGCATTTAATTACTAAGTGCTTATTGACCATGATATAACTAAAGTCATACTTGTTCATTATTTAGCAATAGGGAACATGAGGAGAACAAAAGAGGAATATTACCTCTAACAACCTAAGATGACCTTCATATTACGTTCACTGCTGTACATACTGGTAGGTAAATGTTCTAACTTTCATGAATTTATTGGGTCATAGATTTCATGAATGTGAAGCTCTATCACAGTGAAATTATTGTCATGATTAACCCAAGATTTTTTGTTTTGTTTTGTTTTTTTGTTATTGTTTTTCAAGACAGAGTTTCTCTGTGAAACAGTCTTGGCTGTCCTGGAACTCACTTTATAGACCAGGCTGGTCTCAAACTCACAGAGATCTACCTGCCTCTGCCTCCTAAGTCTTGGATTAAAGTTGTGAGCCACCTCTGCCCAGCTCATTACTCAACTTTTAAAACTTCTCTTAAAAAGTGAAAAACTGGGTTTATTTTTTTCTTTATTTTAATACATCAAAAACAACAGTCAAACACCACCTGTAATCTCCTGTGCTCTAGGGGCATATTAGTAATATAGAAGACATTACCATCATGATCAATTCAGAGCACTCCCCCCACACACCCAGAAACACACTGATTTCAGTGGTAGGCTGTGTGCAGAGGTCTAACCCAACACTGAAGGGCATATCAATGCAGCTAACAAATGACCACACGTCCACTAATAAAGAGTCACGCCAATTAACACACTGTATCTCAGTTCTCATGTCCACAAAATTCTAAGCCCCATACCCTAAAAACTTAACATTAAAAATCTATTCTTATTTTCTTACGCATTTGCTAAAAATGAAATGTAAAGAGTATAATTTTAATACTTAAATAACATGAAATTATAAATGATGTAAGTACAGAGGAATTTTTAACATTAATGGCTGGGTACTTGTTTCTGTCTCATCTCACTAGGTTTTAAAAAAGATAATAGTTTAATAAGAAACTAGTAAGAGCCCGGCAGTGGTGGCACATGCCTCTAATCCCAGCACTCAGGAGACAGAGGCAGGCGGCTCTCTGTGAGTTCAAGGCCAGCCTGGTCCACGAGAGCTAGTAGCTCTAGGACAGCTAGGGCTACACAGAGAAACCCCATCTCAAAAAAAAAAAAAAAAAAAAAAACAAGAAGAAAAATATCTTCTCTTATTTCTTTGTGCTGTTGGTTACACAAATAAACATGCATGCTATAACAAGAAACGAACACAGTACTCAAGTTAAAAATCCCCAACCTAGGGGGCTAGAGTTGGCTCAACAAGACCACTGCCGTTCTTCTCTGACCATGGACAAGGTTTGGTTCCAGCACCCATACAGTGGCTCACAATCATCCTGAACCCAGTTCAGGGAATCTGACACCTTGTGACCTAATACATGTGTCATGCATACATGTGGGGCACAGACAGAAACTCAGACAAAGCACTCAGATACATAAAATAAAAATTTTAACAAAATTGCAAACTAGAAAGCCAATTGATAATAAATGAGCTAACGTTTTCTCAACACAAACTACCTTTAAGCACCCGGAAGAGCTCATGGAGAATGACTGAAAGCATACCTTTTGATGCCTTTCCTGCAGACACCACTCTTTCGCTCTTCCCCTTCAAATTCTGCACATTGTCTTGTTCCAGAACCACTGACAGAGCCTTCTGGACATCAAACTTGTTTCTCAGAACTGCTTCCGTCAGTATGTCATCGGGCACAGCATCTCCCAGGACCTCTCTCATGTGATCAAGGCATGAATAAAGTCGAGCTGAACACAAAACAGACAAAAAGCTGTACTGCACAGATCTTGAAAGAGCTCCAGATCTTCACATTTGACCAGAGAATTTGAAACTATATCTAAAATTTCCTTCTCTTTAGTGGAAATTGTATGTTTTACCTACTTTGTACTTGTCTTCTTTACAAAATACAAATGACATTTTTAGACAGTGATGGTGAATTTCCGCCATTCACTTTTACCATGCATGGAAAGGGAGAGGGACTGTGTGACTATTTCAAACTTGTTGGTGAATCCAGTCAATCACTAACTATATTTCTTACATGTCATAAATCACTACTTTAAGTTTTTTTCAGACCAACAAGCTCTCCATAGCCAACAAATATCATCCTTTAAAACTGTCAAAATAATTTAACATAAAAAAATCAAGTTCAAGAAATAAAGAGGGAAATGAGCATTAATTTTTAAAGCCAAATTTAAACCTGGGGTCGAACTGCCTAAAGATTTTCATTTTTCTTGTAACTAAGCTATTATAAAAAGTCAGTATACCACTCATCAGTCTTCCTATCTTTAAGAGCTGCAACGGGACCAGGTACTAGAGACTAAAGAAATACTCATTTGCGTATTAACAGCACTTGGCGATTTTCACGTTGATCATATCCAATCCTCACAGGAACTGTGTGTACCAGACATGTCACAGAATGCAATTTACCTGCACTTTATAAGCTTCTACACTGAACGTCTATTATTAAGACTTTCCTTTGCAAAAGCTATACTGCATGCTTAACTGCACTTTTTAATTACAAAAATAAATTCCTCAAATACCAAGACAATTCTGCTTTGCCTTGTGCAAGATTTACACAGGCTTTCTCTGTTACTTGGAAAGTAATGTGTGTTAGATTAATATATGAATCACTGAAATTGGAAGGCAACACTTGGCAGAGCTAACATCAGAACATCAGTAATTAATCGTAGGATCTATTCCCTACACATTCATAAAGAGTAAAAGTACGAAGGGGGTAAAAAGTGAAGGCTACACAGGCAGGCTGGCCTAATTAATCCACAGTCTATCCATGTTCTTATAAATAAGACTTACCAATAAGGCCAGTCAGATTTAGTATGTTAAAACAGTACCTGCAAAGCACTTAGTTAACATGGGTCACAATTATCCCTGTCATGTAAGTAGTTACATGTCAGGACAGAAAGTTAGTCTTCTTTCTCAAATGTAACTTGAACTTCCATAGGTGTTTAATCACTGACAGCAGAAGCACACATTGCAGAAAGGGGCTTTTACTCTATTCCTACCTTCTTATCCCTCAAGACTATGCTAACACAAAGAAGCAATCAAGAGCGCACTCACCAGCTCTGTAATCCATCAGATGTTCAAGTGAATCTACAGAGTTTAATTCTATTTAGGTAGGAAAACTTGAATTTCTCCTACTTTTTCTAGTTTTGGATATTTATACCTTTCTACTTATCCTAATTTTTGTTAGCACCTGGCATTTAAAACAAATATTTATTTCATATATATGAGTGTTTTGCCTTCATGTATATATATCCACCATGCCTAAACTGGTGTCCCAGAAGTCAGAAGAGAGTATCTAGTTCCAGGGAACTGGAGTAATGAATGTTTATGTTATGTTGGGAACTGAGCCCAGGTCTTCTAGAAGACCGGCAAGTACTCTTAACCACTAAGCCTTCTCTCCAGCCCCAGCAGCTGATGATTTGTTAACATATTCAAAGATCAGCTTATACACCCTCCATTTCTTTGTTTCCAAATTAGCTATAAACGATCAATTAAAAGCATGTATAAAGTCCAACTGCAAGGGGAGAATAAGGCAGCTCAGCCTCACCCATTCTCCATAGACAGCATTACTCACGTACCTGGCCAGCTCCGCTCCCTATCAGTCTATGGTGTGAGAAATACTTGAAGCAATGTCACATGTGAAATTTCTTTGTAAAAGGAAGCCAAAACAGTCATCCTTTTCGAATGTTTAAAAGAGTTATAAATAAGCAAACAACCAATGCTATTATTCCTTCCAGGTTCCATCCTGAAACTTCACTCACACAGACACAACCAGAACAGTTGTAGGGTGTTACTCTGGCCTTCAAGATCTTCTTTAAACTTCTTGGAAGCTATCATTCTTGTAAATAAAGCAACTCCTATCATCAGCTCCACAAGAGCTCATGAACCATGATTCTTTGAAATCACTGGATTTCTCTTCCATGTAAAAGATGAAAAGATGAGAAAACTCACAATCACAAAGCCCTGTTACTAAACAGTCGGTGTGCTTAGTGGAAGCAATTGCTCAATCACACAATTCAAGACTTCTCTAAAAGCACATTAAAAAAGATGCAAAATTACCATCAAAGCGTAAAATATGCTTGTATCATTACTGTTCATAAACACTACTATGAATAATTTCAATAAAATTCACAAATTCTTACTTGGTGATTAATCATTTTCAGCTAATGAAGATATGCTATTTTTAAAAAGCCATACCTTGGTCAATTTCACTTAACTGGTGATTCAGAAGAGAATTAGAAGATTCTTTCAGATCTTCATAGCCATATTCTTCTACAGGGTTATCACGTCGTGAGTAAATAAACTGAGCAGCTACAACACAAAATGAAGAATTCTATAATATAGCCAGTTGCCAACTTTTTCTTACTTTTTGACACAGGTTAAGATAAAGGAGATGGGACTGTAATTCATTGGTAAAGTGCTACCCTAGTATGTATAAGGTTCATGCAGGAACTGCTCTGCTTCTCTTTTTTCCCCATCTCTCCATCACATACTCTATCTTCCCCATCTCTCCATCACATACTCTATCTTTCCCATCTCTCCATTATGTTTGTTCGACATAGTGGCACTCGCTGGTCAATGTATATCACAAGCATGCTATGTGTCCTCGCAGAACAGAGAGGCAATGGATCCTCTGGAACTGAGGCTATGGATGGTCCTCTGCAAGAACATCAAGTGTATGCTTAACTACTGAGCCATCATCTCTCCAACCCTCAACAGTCCTTAAGTTTTTAACAACTCATTTTCCAATCATAGAGTAACACCGTATACCAGTGACATATATAGAAAACTTTGACTTTCAGATATCGGTCTGTGTTTCTCTAACATACTGGCTGGTACATCATTCAATATGGAATGCAACTGGGTATTAAGTATGTCATTAAAAGAAAGAATTTGTAAAAATGCCATCTTATACCTATGCCTCAGTGACATAAAAGCTGAGTAAGGGAAAGCGTTATCATCCAATCCCAAAGTATGGATGCCACTAAATTTAATCCTCAAGCCTGTTCAATTGCAAGGAAGTGAAGTTAGCATGTTAACAGCAATTGGCAAGCTAAGTAATAGTGGAGAGACCACTTCGAATGCCCATTCCTGATAATGAATTTGATGTCTATAACCATCTGGGAGCCTTCATCCAGTGGCTGATGGAAGCAGAGGCAAACACACAATTAAACACTGAACTGAACCCAAGGAACCCAGTGGCAGAGAGAGAGGAGTGATGAGCAAATTGGCAAAGAATGGGCTGGCAAAACCAGCAGAGACAGCTGATCTGAACAGGGGAGAGCTCTTGGACCCCAGACTGACAGCGGGGAGGCTAACATGGGACTGATCTGGACCCCCCCAAAGGCGAGTGTCAGTGAGAAGGCCTGGGCAACCTATGGGGCCTTGAGCAGTGGATCAGTGTCTATCCCTGGAATACAAACAGTCATCGTGTGCCCATAGCACAAAGAGGGATGCTCTCTCAGCCTGGACTCTTAGGGGAATGCCTGGACCCTACCCGGAGTGAAATGACAGACTCTAGATATCCCCTATGTGGAAGGAATTGGCAATAGGGTGGGAGGCTGGGGGGGAAGGGGAGTGCGGGAGGAGGGGAGGGAGAGGGAACTGGGATTGACATGTAAAACAAGCTATTTAAAATTAAAATAAAAAATGATATTAAAAAAAAGGACAGAAACACAAACGTGCTATAAAACAAGGCATTGTGGGGCCTTTACATTACTTCACTTTCCTTAAGAGCATAATAAGCCCATTGCACAGAATTCCTACATTGGACTTTTGAGCATGGTTCCGGGGAGTTATTAATGTTAAAAGAGACACTGCCTCGCTGGGCAGTGGTGGCGCACGCCTTTAATCCCAGCACTCGGGAGGCAGAGAGGCAGGCGGATCTCTGTGAGTTCGAGGCTGGGCTGGACCGACAGCCTCCAAAACAATACAGAGAAACCCTGTCTCGTAAACACCCAAAAAAAAAAAAAAAAAAAAGAGAGAGAGAGACACTGCCTCTAAAATTTATAGATAATGTAGAGAATATAAAGTTGCAGCCCATAAATAATATTTATAATCAGAAATCAGAAGGTCATAAGCCAATGACCTTATAGATTAGCAGGGAAGAAAAAGAAGAAAATTTGTAATAGCATACTTTAAAATCCAAATGAGTAACACAGTTAACAAGTACTAGAGAAACAAATTAATCACAGGAGATTGGTGCAGTTACAAAAAGGAGATTAAGAACAGAAAAAACTAATGACTGAACGAATGGAAAATCCAATACATGCAGAGAAAATGAGAGGTAAAACGCAAGTTTTCTTTCCTCAGATTAGGTCATTGCAATTAGTAAGTAAGGGTGTGAAGGTGACAAATCAATATGCTTCAGCCTAAAAAATGCCACCCCAACACAACACGCCAGCACTCTTTGGGAAGTCTAATCCCTACTGCCCTGTCACTACACTGAGACTACACTCTCAGTCACAGCCTTGTCTCAGGAACACTTATGTGAACATTCGACTTTGCTACATTACTCATTCTTTACACCTCGCTCAATCAGGCTTTTGCCTTTGCAAACTCTAGAGTCCTGCATCCTTATCCATCAGGAAGATATCTCCAGGTGTGCCAGCACTTTCACTAAGACTGTTACTGGTTATGTTACTTTTCTTAGGTTGAATGGCCTGTCCTAATCTTATTTTTAGTCTTATTTTTGAACACCACAAAGTATTTCAGAAAGGTATACATTATTGATTTACATGTATGTGTATCTTTCCTCATCTTATTCAAGGAGACAATCAGCATTACAGATGAAAGACTGAAGAAACATTCTGTTGCCGATTCTGTAATCCCTTTTCCGTGGTTAAAGTCTCAGGCTAGAGATGAGTCTTACAACAGAGGGCAAGCCCACCATGTAATACTTAGATTGGCAGTCTTTTACTTCTAGTGATCTAAAGCAAATCCTTAAAGTCTGTGGCATTTTAGTTTACTCTATCAGCTACACTAGAAATACAAAGGGTGTCATTTTCTGCCTAGAGATTTACGAATTATTTCTCAAAACTCTTTTTTGCTTAGTTCAACTGTGCAATTTCTCCAACTATGTCTCATATCACTGTGACCCAAGAAACCTAAGACCAATTCAATGCTGACTGAGATGAGAAATCAAACACTCCCCTCAGCAAGTTTCACTCTAGAGATTTCCATAGCAAAGCGGAAGTTCTTACTTAAAAGCTCCTATGCCTCCTGCTAGAAGCTTCTGTTTCTGCAGATGTTCCTTGCTGTTACACCTTCCGAAACAAAAATTTCTAACTTCCAAACTCATACTATAGAAAATATTCTAGAAGTCCTTGCTAGTGGCTGGGATTGCCACAGGCCAACAGAATAAGAAGCCATAGAGGCTGAGGTCAGGAAAGAGACAGGGGGGGTGCAGGGGATGGGGGCAGGGGGCAGGGGGCAGTCCAAACCTTGTGTACACTGTGAATATGCAGTACTCATTGGTTAATTAAGAGCTGACTAAACTATAGCAAGGCAGGATAAAGTTAGGCGGGACAATCAAACAGAATGATGGGACAAAGAGGGTCAGATCCAGCGATGCCTCTCCAGGAAGCAAGACATGCTAGAGGACAGATAAAGCCACAAGTCACGTGGCAATAGATTAACAGAAATGGCTTAATTTAAATATAAGAGTTAGCTGGTAACAATCCTGAGCTATCAACCAAGCATTTGTAATTAATACATGCTTCTGAGTGATTATTTGGGACTAGGTGGTTAGGACAGAAAAATTCCACATACACAGAAGCAGGCAGATCCCTGTGAGTTCAAGGTCAGCCTGGTCTGCATACTGAGTTCTAGGACACAGAGCTACATAGTAAGACTATGTTTTGAAAAAGCCAAAGTAACAAACAAAAAACAGAAAAAGAAAAGAAACTGTCCTACAAGCCCCACCTCCAATCTGCTCATTGTAGTCTACTATACTAGTCCACTTTGTACATCATCATGAGTCACCTGCTAAATCCCCTCCCTGTTGAACCGCCTCCAGTCACAACTGACACAGACATAGAATGAAGAAAAGTTTTCACACTTTGGTTCCCACTTCCCTCCTGGTTCCTATTTCCCATCCCAGTCTCCTTTCACGTTGTAGGTTGTATAAATCTTGTGAGTCTGCCAAAACAAACACCATTCAGTAGGCATCACTCTACCTACCTACAACCCAATTTTCCAGCCCACTCACCGCTCCTGTCAAACATGCTCAGGGCTGTTCTCTACCCATCAAACTACAGAACTGTCTGAACAGGACCGCACACAGCTGCTTTTCAACAAGAAAAAAAAAAAACAGGTGGGGGGGTCCTCCTTACACACAACTGATGATGAGTAAAGGTTCTAGATCAAAATATATTAAAAGACTACTTCCAACTTACATTAATTGAAACAAAATACACTATTCAAATTGCTTTTACTGGTTCTTTTGCTATTACTGCCCTGACACACTCAATAATCAGTATGAAAAATCTTTCTAAAAGGAAATTTTTAAAGAGCTACATTTAAAAATCACATTTTATCAAGAAATGTAAGCTTAGAAATCAAAAACACATGCATGTGACTAAATTTCAGAAGTTTCCATTAATTAGCAAAGCAACTCAATTACAGGCTTCATTAGACCATGAGTATAGTATGTTCACCTCTTGAATGAACAAAAGAAGGTAGATTTTTATTTCCTGAGCTACTCAACACATTACTTGTTCATTAACCCCTAAAGGAGAAGTACTCTTCTAAAGGGTATTCAGATACTGTGATGCCTAATCTTGTTTGTGAAAAGAGGAATCTCAATTGAGGAATTGCCACCATTAGGACGGCCTGTGAGCATGTCTGTGGGGGTATTTTCTTTGCATAAACCCTTTCCTCCCCAGATTGCTTTATTATGTCCTGCATTTTATGTATTTGATTACAGCCACAAAGGAACAAATAGGACAGACACCAACAATGACAGCAGAAATGAAGAGGTGGTTCTGCTTCACAGAGCAGCCAACAAAGCCCACGGCCGCAAAGCCTACTGACTGCTCTGTCATGGCATGCTACTGCTTTAAGTAACAACAACTATTCTAAAACTGCTCATTCTCATTGGAAATTACCTGAAAACACACTTAAAAATAACCTAGGCCCAGCACATGGCACTCAGGCCTGTGATCGTAACTTCTGGGACTCTGAAACAGGGAATCCCAGACTACAGGTTAGCCTGTGATTCATGCTATGTTCCAAGATAGCACAGGCTAAAGTGTTTTGGTCTAATGCTACTGTTAGGCCACATATTTTCCTTTTCTTAATTGTTCTTGGTGGTGGTGTTTTCATTACTGCTGTCTTCCTACATTGTGTTGTTGGGGGGGTCACACCCAGGATCTCACACATGCCTACTAAGCTACATGCTTGCCTACTAAGCCACATTCCCCACCTGTAAATGTTCTAAATTCATATTCAGATGCTTTTGTTAAAAGAGTTTATCAAAAAAGCAAAACTATTTAACTACCTATTGTTTAATAATGTCAACAGACTTCCAATTGTACAAAAAAAAAGTAACTTACAAATAGGGTATCCAAAATATGAACAATGGAGAATGTACATCAAGCCATGAGAACAAACAAAAGTCTCTGATCAAGGTGTCATGTAAGTCAGGCCACACATGTGAACCTCAGGAAAACATCTTATGAAAGAATAACTTTTGTGCTGTTAGCACACCAGGTAAATGTGACCTACCTCGACTACTGACTTGCATTAATTGTGAGCAATCATTGCTGCGTGAAGAGTCCACTTTTATACAAACCATATTCAACAAACCCTGTAGATCTCAACTTGTTTTTGAGACAGTCTCTCTTGGTAGCCCTAGCTGGCCTAGAACTTGCTATATACACCAGGCTGGCTTCAAACTCACAATCAGCCTGCTTCTGACTCCTGAGTGCTGGAATTAAAGATGTGTGCTACTGCATCTAGTAGACCTCGATTCTTATAAGCCTTCAAATCTACATCTAAATATTACTATTCTTTTCCTAAATAAATGGTTCCCTGTAAAGATATGCCTTTTTCTTGCCAGCAGCTTTGGTTTATCCCCCGCCAGTCTCCTGGGCTCTGCTGCGTTGTAGTCCCCAAATAACACACAAGACGCTGTATTAATTATGAAGCTGTTGGCCTTGCTTGTTTCTTACTGGTTAGCTCTGACTTAAGTATTTATCCCATAATTGTTAATCTAAGTATTTCTCTTACCAGAAAACTTTCCGGGCTTCTTATCCCTACGGCAGTTACATCTTGACTCCCTGTGTTTCTCCTACCCAGAGTCCTCTTGGACTCCTAGTCCCACCTATCTTGCTTCCCTATTGGCCAACAGTGCTTTATTGACATATACATAGGACTTCCCCCATCATCTCCTCTTTACTGTCTAAACAAAAAGAAAGGTCTTAACTTTAACATAGTCAAATTATATATAACAGAACAGTTATCAAGTAAGAACAGTTACAATAGTTCCCAAATGTCAGTCTAATATTCCAAATATTCCTGGCATAAGATTTACTACTGCCTTCAGAGGTCTTATAGACTTTCACTAATAATCAATTAACATTTCAGTGAATTATATTAACTGCAAGATACAGAGATTATTAGCAAAGAAGTCTTCAAAGCTTCCCTTAAACTGCTTAAATTTTGTTTAAAAAGACAGTTGGGTAAGAGCTCTTACTACACAACCATGAGGGTCTGAGTTCAAATCCCTAGTATCCATAAAAACCAGGTGTGGTCATGTACATATCTGTAAAACCACTGCTTTGGGTGGCAGGGACAGCAGGATCTCGGAGGCTTGCTGGCCACCAGCCTGCGGTAGCACTTGTCTCCAAGGACTAAGGTGAAGAGTGATACAACAAAATGCCTGAGGTTCTCCTCCACACTCCCCAAGTATGCACAAAGGCATGCACCTACACAGACACAAAGGCATGCACCTACACAGACACAGACCACATACACAGGAATGCACAGAAAATTTAAAATTATTTGTGGGTCAAGAAATTCTTACAGGCGAACTTGGGGCATACTTACAAACCCATCTAAGTATGTCCAAAGCTGGAGGACCACCAGGAATTCAAGGCCACTCTGGACTATACAATGTCTATTTTTTGTTTTGAAATAAACCCATTATAAAACTTTAAATTTAACATGTGAGTATATAAGTAAATACACACATATCTTTTTAAATTATGTTTTGCTTGTTATGAAACAGGGTTTCTCAGTGTAGCCCTGGCTGTCCTGGAATTCACTCTGTAGACCAGAGACCTGCCTGCCTCTGCCTCCCTTGTGCTGAGAATAAAGGTGTATGCCACCACTGCCCAGCTACATATATTTTTAAAAAGTACACATTATAATTTTAATGACTCTAGTCCAAGATGACATTCATACTTATTTGACCTTTTTAAACAGTCAAATCATTTTTTTAATAACTTACCTGTTGACGGTGAAATACAATAGTCATCCTCCACAGACTGGCCATATAAATCATCTTCTTCAAAATCTAAAATACAAAACGGATTCATTACAAGTTCAATCACATCTTCTTTATTCATGAGCAAACACCTGAATCATGTACAAAATAAGTTAAAATAACAACTTTCAAGGAACCTGCATGTCTACTTTTTCATAAATTCTAAGAATTCTACCTACAAAGTAGTTATTTACTAATAACCATCTAAATTACTGACAATGTATACTTTTAAAACACACATAGGCCTTCTGTTTTTAAGCTAATTGGGCTTTATTTAATTTTCTCACATCTTTCTTGTTACCAAAACCAGAAATAATCCTGTAGATGATATATGTGAATTGTCTAACTTCACAAAACCTGAGGTAAGCCACCCGTTGCTCTCTAGGCAAACATCTTTACAGGGTATACAATCCAGCCATAAAGTCACTCTTCATGGAGAACCAGAAAACCTGACTTCAATGATGTTAAGTCTTAAAATGGAGTTTGTAAGTGAATTAAGTCGATCTTAATGGAGTCTGTTCTTAGGCTGAGATTTTCCCAAGGTTGCCAGAGTCTTCCCTGCCACCTTTACCTTCAGCAGCCTCCTCTAATTTATTGCCTTCAACGTACAACTCATGTTTCAATGAATGAGAAATGACAGGAAACACTTAGTTTAGCCAAGTACCTGGGATACATGTGGCGCTAAATTAATGTGTTCACAAGTTAATGAGTCAAACTATTTAAAACCCTGCAAGGAACATAAATTTATACCAAAGACTGTTACAGAGACGTTTTCAGTACAAAGTGTGCACATTTCCAGGTCTGTCAACACCAAAAGTCTAACATCCAGGACAGGGTGATTACAAAACTGTATGACAAGTTCTCACCATGGGAAATACAGAGCAATCTGGGAACACACATGTGAAAACTAGAATTTCCCCAGGAACAGAGAGTCAGCCATCTCTCTAAAACATTCATGCAGCAGGAACAGCATGCTTAAAGGCTGAGACAAAATGTCATGGTAAAGAAAAGTTGTATGACTGCTCTTACTAGATAAAAATATGCTAGTCAATAAACCAGACTGTAATCCCAAATTTAAAAATGCCATTCACAACCCCAAGAAATATACCTTTAGACATAATTTATATATATATATATATATATATATCTTTAGACACAGTATAAATATAGCATATGTCTATAGTATATATGACATAGTAAAATCACTTTTACTAGTTTACTAGTTCAGGTGACCTAAAGAGCTACAATATTAAACATGGAGAAAATTATTCTCTGCCATCTTCCTAAAGTGGTTCATTTCAACAAAATATTGGCGAGATTTACTGCATATACGGTATCACACCAGTGACTGGGCTAGACTTTTAGACTAGCTGAGACAGGCTACAAATGTAGAACACTTGCTGGCCCGTTATGCACAAAGCCCTAGGTTCCAAGAGCAAGTACTACATAAAGCAGGCCTGCCAGTGTTTGTCATCTATCACTTGGGAGACAGAATCAGAGGCAGGAGAATTATGAGTTCATCATCCTTGGTGAGACAGTGAATTCAAGCCCAACATAGGTTATGTGAAACTCTCTCAAAACAAAAAGAAAAACTTAGTAGTTGAGGCCGTTATGAAAAGTACTCCAATATACACAGAAAAGCAAAGGTGTTACAAAGAGGAGACAATAGATTTTAGACCTCAGACTAATGAAATTAAAATACTTTTATAAATGTTTAATTATTGAAACTCCAAAGGGAAGCCTAACTGGGAAGAAGACTAGACACTGAAAATGAATTACACTTTTGTAAGCAGGAAGGGGGAAACATCCCATGACAGAACAGGACAGGCTTGGTTATGATGTCACCAATTGTTACAAAGAAATATAACCTGACCCGAGGTAGCCAAGATAAGAAGGTATTTAGCAGTGACACAGAGGACATACAACTCTTGCCAAATACTTCACACAGAAATCCTGACCCTCTCTGACTTAGATGTTTTCTTTCACATTGCTCCCACAGCAGTGTCATTACATTGTGTGGAATCTCTCATGTTTTAACCAGCTGCTCCTTTAGACTGTCCTTAGTATCTTAAACAGTACTCCAAGCACTCAGTTATCACATGATGAGGAAGTAAATTACAAAGGAGATTCGTGTCCTTTATCTCATATCTACAAGATCTCTCCCAGTCTAAAGTCATTTCTCAGTGGGAGTGGAGCGGAAGGCATTTTAGACATCCAATACAATATTCTGACAGTGAATGTCTGCAAAGTAAGACATTCCTGGCCGACTGGATCCAAGTCTTCAAATGCAGCACAGGGTGTTAGCTGTCCAAGCTGGAGTACACTGACGCTCACAATCTCCCAAGGATGTCAATTAACAACCAACTTCAACATTACATGTTCCCAAAAGCAGTAGGTCTTTAATCCTTTTGCACTAGTTCACATTTTTTTTATTTTTAGCTTCTGTGACGCTTGATAATACCTATTATTATCCACTCATTGCATGACAGTCTTCCTAAAACCACTTTTCAATTAACTCCTTGAGAACATTCATATACGTATTTTTTCATTAAAAAAAAAACCAGTGAGTCTCTTCATACGATCTCCCCTCTACTGTTGCTTTACATTCTCATTTTAAAATACATTTACTAGTATGAGTCAATAAACTGAGTGTACACTTGAAGATCAGCAAAACGACTTAACTCCTTGAGTCTTTTACACTTGAATCTTTTCTACTTCTTACGTTCCGAATTTTCAAATTCGCTGAAAATTCGGGTCAAGCGAGGTTACGCAAGTCAAGACGCAAGAACCCAGGCAAATTATTCTATAAACCTAACAGTTTTAGCAGGTCGATTGAATGTAAGCACTAAGCCAGCCTATTATATAAATAAGCAATGCCTCGTGGGCACATGTGAAGGAGGGCTTATGACACAAAAGTTAGAAATTGGCGCGCGAGTCCCCAGAAGAGGCTATCAGAAAAGAGGCAGCGTTCAGATAGCAAAGGGCGTCAGATCCCAACGTCGCCGAACACCGTAGGCCCTTGAGGTGCCACACTGTCACCCGTCCGTAAGTGAGGTCAACACAGAAGGCAGCAACCACGCTATCTTCCTTCCCTGGGACACTGACGTCCTACCCTTCCCCCCGCCTTCTCCCCTCCTCGCCACCAACCCCAGTTCCAGTGTGGCTCCGGGGTCCGCACTCCCATCCCGGCGGGTGTAAAGGGGCCAGGATCCCAGCTGTTACGGCTCACAAGACGGCCCGACGCGGCCGGCCCTGCCGCTCACCTTCGTCGTAGTTATAGCCTCGGACGTTCCGATGCCGCGCCATCGCGGCACACAGGGCGCCAGCCACAGTCCCTCCCAAAGAACTCGGCTCAGACACGGATGGGGCGCCAAGCGCGGCCCGGAGACCTCTTCCGCGCCATCTTGGCTTCCGCCAGGCCTCGGCGCCAAGCGTCTGCGCAGACGCGACGTCATACCTGCGCACTACGCGACGGCAAGCTCTCAGGGTCACAGTCGGCCTCCCGAGAGCGCACGCGCACTCGCGAGCCGGAAGGCGGCGCGAAGCCCCGCCCACAAGCAAGTTGACTGACGTGGATTTCAATGCCGAAAATTTTTTTTTCAGCTGCTTCCACGCTATTGATTGACGGTGAACGTGACAAGCGGGGATCTTTGACGTTCAGGATTATTTTCCATGTTTGGTTTTTGATCATTTGGGAATCTGCCTATTTGACTCAATAAGAGCAAGGAGTCTGTTTCAGCTTTTAAGCTGTAGGTAAACACGATAGACGTCCACAAACGTGTGTAAACGTGGCATAATAATTAGTTCAAGCTTTAGAGGGAGAACGACCTTTTGAACAAGTAATTAAAATGTAGCTACACTAGGTCACTATGCTTTGTGGGCAATTCATGGCTTCAGGTATGGGCTCCATCCTCCATTAACAGCCCTGGTAAACAACTGTCTGGCCTTAGCTATGTAAACTATTTTCATTAACAGGGAATAATTAAGAGAGATGCCTTGGGCATTGATTGAATACATAAACATGTGAACTTGCTAAGAGCATTTAGTACAAGCTTTTCAGACACACCACTAGCCTTGGGTACTCATGATGTATTACATAATACATAAATCTATAACCTGTTATTAAACATCCTCATTTCATAAACCATAAGGCTAGTAATGCTGTGTAAAAGCATCAGCCTCATTATCATACCGAACAACCTCTTTGTTGTAGCTTGTTTTTGCAATGCCAAGGCCTTGTATCAAAGGCAAATGTAAAATTCTATCTTACTCAGCTTTTCTTGTCACAATAAGGAGAAAACACAAATTAAATTCATATTTGTAAATGGCTCAGGTTTGATTCTGACTCCTGAGTGATTATTCTTTACTATCATTGTTTAATATGTCTCCAAGGCAAACTTTTATGCAAAAAAATGTAGATGCTAATTTTATATGGTTTTTAAGTGTTTTATTTTACACCTTTAAATAATTTCTACACTGCAGCCTATCTCTTTGTAAGTGAAGATATTATCTTACTCATATATTATCTGATTCATAAAGTTGTTAAGTGATATTTGCCCATGTAAGAAAACTTAACACAGAACATTAAGGTGCTGAGAAAATACTAAATGTGCTGGATATGGTGGATCATTCCTTTAATCTTAGTATTTGGTAAGGGGAAGCTGGAGGATCAGGAGTTCAAGGTCATCCTTGGCTACACAGAGAGTTCCAGGCCCACCAGCACTATCTGAGACCCTCACATATAAAACATATACAAATGACAGCTTCTATCTCACTGTAATCATCAACACTGCTAACCACAACTCAGGGATGCAGCTCATGGAGTAAATGAGTTATGAACTGACCACACAAACAGTACAGGAAACACTCCTTCTTCCTAAGAGATGACACTTAATTTGGCTCTGTGGGCCAGTTCATTTTGTTGATTTGTGGAAAATAGCATAGTGCTTGTGATTGTTAGTTTCATTGTCAACTTGGCATAACAGAGAGTCACCTGAAAATTTGGAGGCATTGCCTTGGCTTGACGATTGATGTGGGAGGTGCCAGTCTACTCTGAAGAACACCCTCCCTAGGTAGGTGGGCCTGGGCTATATAAAAAGCTAGCTGAGCCTGAGCCAAAGAGTGAGTCAGTAAGAGGTGTTCTTCTATAGTTTCTGCTTCACTTTCTGCCAGAGTTCCAGCCCTGACTTCCCTCAGTGATGGACTGGAACTTGGAAGTGTGAACCAAAAAGACGGTTTCCTTTCCCAAGTTGCTTTCGGTCGCTGTCTTTACCACAGCAACAGCATGAAACTGGAACGCTACCTGTTGATAGTGACATTGAAGTAACATCGAAAACAATGAGCAGCACATACTTAACGTCTGTAATTTGAAATATTTAAGTATATGTAAATGCCAGCAAAACCGTCAAGACAATGAATATATGCAGACTTTCAAGCATTTATATACAGAACATAAAAATCCAAAATGTCCACAGATAGTACTGTCCTCTATGACTCCCCAACATAGCCTTTGGCAACAGCTGATCAGCTTTCTCTCACTTGTGTTTTTACATTTTTCATGGAGACGAAATCTGGAAATATGTGTTCTTTTTTATGCTTGCTTTTATTCAGCATAATTATTGAGATTCAATCACATAGGTGCTTGGATCAACAGTTTATTCCTTTTTCCTTCAGAAAGAGTTCCATTGTGCAGAAATGTAAGAGAATAAGCAGGCATGACCTGGTGGCCAACCTACTTGGCACACAGTGCTTCTAAATAAGAAGCATGGCACACCATGCTCGTAAAATCAGGACACTGAATTCTGAAGTAGCATGAGCAGCAGATTGCTGGCCTGTGTAGAGTCTGAACTCTTCACATCTGCTCTAATGTGTTTTTTCCGCATAAAGGCTCCAGTGGTATGAATTCTCACTATCCAATCCTGTGGTAATGTGCTAACCAATCACAGTCCATAGACTTCCACTGTGTAAGTGGTTGCTCATGCGCAATAAACCAGACACTGTTTCTGAAACTGCCTCCAGTGTGGTTTATCTCCATGTGCTTTACCAAGCCATGAGCATTGTTGTCTTGTCAGGACATGTTCTGGTAAAATGACATAGAAATACCACTTTGTGCTCTCCCATTAATCTATTGATATCTACTTTGGTTGTTTCCAATGTTGACTGCTGCAAATAAGACTCCTGTGAATATTCATTACAAATATCATATGAAAATAATGTCTACTTTTCCTGAATGATGTGACAAACACCTTTTGAAAAAAATGCCAGCATTAAGGACAAAGCTCAATGGTAGAACACTTGCCTCGTGTACATAAAAGCATGGTTACAATTTCCAGCACCACAAAAGGGAAAAGGACAGAAAGTACCCAACAGTTTCCAAATGTGGTTGGACCATTTTACATACCCCTGAGCAATGGAGATGCACTTTTTCATAGCCACCCAGAACTTCTCACCATCTGAAGGTATTTGATGTTCCAATGAGTTCTTTGACGATGTGTCTTTCTAAGACTCTTTGGCTGGTTGATAATGAGGTGCTTGTTTTCTTATTTCTGAGTCTGCAGAATAATTTTATTATGAATAATATTTCTTTATCAGATGTATAATTTGGCAACATTTCTCCCAGGGTGTAACTAATCTTTTCATTCCTTCTTGTAGGATGGGAGATGGAACTTGGGACCACTAAACTGCTTCCCCAACTCTTTCCGTTCCTTTAATAGTATCTTTTGAGAAGAAATTTTTGTTTTCATGAAATCCCATTTGTTTGTTTGTTTGTTGGCTTTAATGGCTTGTGCTATTGATTTTCTGTCTAAGTAATGTTCACCAGAACAAAGGTCACATAAATTTTCTCCTGTTTTTATTGTTGACAGTTTGAGGCTTTACATTTAGGCTTATGATGCATTTTCAATTGAGTGTTGTGTATGGTGCAGGCTTAGATCATAGTCCATTTCTTGAAAAATGGCTGTCTACTGTTCCAGCACCATTTGTTTAATGAGTTCTACACTGACTCACATCTGTACTGTCATCACAGAAGTGACTCTGTGTGTGGGTGTCACTCTCCAACTCTCCATTGTATTCCATTGATGCGCCAGTGTTACTCTAGCTTAGCAGAAATATTGTAACTTAATAAATCTTAAAACAAAATAATCTTTTTTTCCTTTATCTTGTTTTAGGCAACATCTCACTGTGTAGCACTGACTGACCTAGAATTTGCTGTGTAGACCAGGCTAGCCTTGAACTCACAGAGATCTGCCTGCCTCTGCCTCCCTGGATGCTGGGATTAAGGTGTGAACCATCACATGCAACTAAAATATTCCAACTTTGCTCTACTTTTTCGTAGTTCTCTTAGATAAGTTAGACCTTTGTCATTTTGAAATATGCCACACTAGCATAAAATAGTATTCTAGGGTACCAAGATAAATATACAGAAAGATGTAAACTATTTAAACTGAGACTAGAAAGCATCAGTGAGAAAAATAAAGTCATGTGAAATGAAGAAGTGGAGACTGGAAAAGTACTCTAGTCAGGAGCACTTGCTGCTATTTGGAGGACCAAGGAGGTTTCCCAGCATCCATGTGGTATGGCTTCCACCCTCCTGAAGCTCCAGATCATGGAATCCCATCCCTTCATCTGGCCTCTGCAGACAACCACACACACACACACACACACACACACACACACACACACACACAAAGAAAATAATAGTAATAATGATAATGAAGAAATGAACTATGGCGAGTGCTTGAAAGTATTATTTTGTTAAATGAGAAAATGTCAGTTCCCCCAAAATTGATCCCTATTCAGTGCTAGCCCAATAAAATTAAGTTTTTGGTGGAAATTATTAATAAGATTCTGCACCTGTTTGTTTCAGCACCAGGAATTGAATGCACTTTAGGTAAGTACTCTACCATTAAGCTACATTCACAAGTTAACAATCAGATTCTGTAACTTACAATTTCTAATTTAAATATAGTTTAGGACTCTTGGAGGGTGATCTAATGAATAAAGTACTTGCCACAGAGCACACATAAAATCCAGGCAAGAACTGCAATGTGCATCTGTAATCTAAACGCTGAGAAGGCAAAGACAAGGGAATCCTGGCACTCACTGGCCAGCCAGCCCAGGGAGCAAGCTCCAGGCTCAGTGAGAGACACTGTCTCAAAAACTAAGGTGAAGAATAGCTGAAGAATAAAGCTGACATTGATCTCTGGCCTGCACACACACACACACACACACACACACACACACGCACACACGCACGCACGCACGCACACACGCACACACCTCAAAAGTGTAATTTAGATTAAGTTCCTGAAATAACCAACATATTCAGAACAGAGATGTAGCATGAATCCCAGAGACAGATATTGGGGTTCAAGCTGAAGATCAGAAAAGCAAAGCAGCCAACCACTAGAGAATTCTTACCTCCACCAAGGCTCAGACCAAAAGGGAC